GGGGATTTAGGCTTCCCCTTGCCCAAATGAGGTCAGACTGGTGGTGATGGATGTTCTGCGTTGGCAAACCAACTGCGAGGAGATGCAGAATCTCTAGCCGTACTGGATCAGAGAAACCCCGAATTTTCTTTTATTGGGCGGCAATACACAGATTTTTAGAAAAAGGTCTATTTGGTAATTTAATACGCACCGGAGAGAGCGTATCACACGGACACATGTACCCAGTGTCCGCGCTTGGTTTTCCTCAGCGGCATGCGTTCATAAGAGCAACCAGAACTGAGTTCCCAAATTAACCTTTTTACCAAATAATACTTTTCTGGAGTGGTACTTGCTGGCTGGTCGGAATAATCCTTATCACACGAGGAAAATGGAAGACAAGCAAGGAACAGTCTCGTTTTCTGTACCGGTAGAAAACTGTTGACAGGTGCGCCGATCACTGTAATTAATCAGGATAAGTAAAATAGTGAGGATTCAAAATTATTGGGGTCCACGTTAATTGCCCGGCTACCCTTTTGTCCAAAACTTATCATACCTCTGGGCAGTAGGGGGGACACGGCGCTAGGGGAAAGTGAGGGCCTCTCTAAACTAAGGGAGTGTCTTAGCTTGCCCGAGTTTGCCCGGGTTTGCTTGCCCGGAGCCATGATTTGCGCTACTATTGGCTACTGGGCGTTAATATATGATTTGAAACCAAATACGACCCTACACTGCAAGCTCAAGTTATGTCAGTGTGTAATGACAAATGTCAATCATATATTGGCTACTTCTGTAAGTTTGTAACTTTCGAATTTGGACGCTGTGCTCCGGTGGACGCAGTGCTTGCCCCTTGCCGAAAACATCCTCAACTCCGCCTTTGCAAAAATCTATGCACCTGCCATCTCGCAAAGGCAACCCAACTCTACGAAGCACCTCTCTGCCTGTGAAAACTGCAGAAGTTGATTGGCGCGTGTTTTTCTCCACGCGCTATAAGGACAAGATACTCTAGTAATTTCCCTCTCTGTAGTGAGTATATAAGTCCCCCCGATGATTCCGAGTAACGGGCGTCGGGGGATGGTAGAGGGAAGACACACACCGTACGTATCGAGTCGTTCACCGACTCTCGTACAGTAAAGAACTGCCGGTCGTCGGCAGTTTTCCCTCGAATTTCTCCATTTTAGTGGCAAATTCCACATTCATGAATTAATTTTTTGCCCGAGAACAGAAAAACCGTACCCGTGATCTCCACTTTTTTCTTCTTGTCCGGCGTCGCGCAGTGGCTGTCCGCCCTTCTCCGTCGTACCTAACCGCCCCGCCGCTCGCCGCAGTCTACCGCTCACCGCGACGTGCCGCTGGCCGCGCCCCGCCGCTGGCCGCGCCCCGCCGCTCGCTCGCCACTCCCCGCCGCTCGCCGCAGTCTGCTGCTCGCCGCACCCCGCTGATCGCCGCACCCCGTCGGTTGCGGTACTCTGTGGCTTACTGCTTGCCGCTTCCTACTGCGTGCTGCTCCTGGCTGCTTTCTGTTCTTTTTGTTCGCAGCTCCTTGCCACTCGCTGCTCCTCGCCGCTCGCTGATCCTTGCCGCTCGCTGCGCACTGCCGCTCGTCGAGCCGCGCCGTCGCACTTTTCCGTGCCGCCTCTTGCTCACGGTACCGCCAACTCTCGCTCTGACGGTGACTCCGCCTCTCTCTCACACTTGAACGCCGCCTTGCTCCGATTGTGACGCCGCCTCGCGCTCCACTGTGCCGCCACCAGACACAACGCCACACCGCTCACGCTGCGTTACCGCCTCTCCCCGCGCTTGCTGCCGTGTCGCTACCGCCACACCGCCTCCTAAAGGGTACACTATTGCCACTCCCTGCCGCGTTACGGTCCAGATGCCGTAACCAAATCACCGCCTCAAAGACAACACGCTGCCACCGGCCGTGCCAAAGGCCTCACACGTGACTAGCACATCGAAGACTGCGGCTGTGAGCAGAGTCCCAGTACATCCTTTCGATTACCAACGACTACTCTAGTGGACAATTCTTTTCCCCGAGAGCGATAGCGAGGGCCGCAACTTGAACCAAAAGTGAGGAAGTGTTAGTGAGTCCCCACCGGTTCGCTGTTTCAGCAGTGGGCGGATAACGGTGTTTGGTCGAAAGGCCTGGTGACCACACAGCGACCGATCTGGACGGGGTTTTGTACCGACGGGGAGGGTTTGAGAAACTAGTCTAGTCGCGTCGCGCAAGCTTCCTGAAAGGGAGTAGACAGCCTTTAGCCAGTGTATCGGCTGCTGTGGATCTCTCGTAAGGATCGTCGCGCCCGCTCCAGCAAACTCAGGAGTAGGTAGACAGCTGAAGTCGTTTCCGACCCGGACGGTCTCCGGGTGCCGAAGGTCAGACCTTCCCGTTGTGGGACGGTATCCCTCCAAGGACTTCCCCTGTAGAGGACAGGGCGCCAAGGGTCGGAGTACCCTTTCAAGGTTGAAATTTTTGCCGAAGCCGAACTTGTACCAACACTGAACATGTCACAACAGCAGGAAACATCAGATGCAACCTCGCCTTCGGGATCCGGGCAACAGGCAGAACCCCGCTTCATGCACCACGTCCCTCTGGCTGACCTTAACGACAAACAGAAGGGATTCGTGTCCTCTGTACGCCATTTAGAAGCCACTGAGGCTGCCCAAGGGGATGGTCTTCTACGCATATTCGCAGACATGTTCCCTCCCGCAGACCTTTTTTAAAAGGAACTCTGTGAACTACCGGCAGTCTACACTGAGCTCCGCAACTTCCTTGATTCACACGGAGCTAACATGCAGCAGCACTCCTCTCGCCGCATCATGATGACTCTTGCTCATAATCTATACGAAGAGCAGGAAGATCAACAAGCTGCGATTGGCATCGTCACCGAGATCATGGCTGCAGGTCGTCGAATGAGGACCGATCTTTCCCGGACGGACAACAACCGCCAAGAAGAGTCGCAATCACGCTCTGCCTCCACCTCCACCGCAAGTGCCCCTGATAGACTAGCACACAATGTTGCCATGCGTCTCAGAGACAGGGATAAAAAGTTTAGCGGGGCGCTTGGTGAGTCGTGGATGGAGTTCGTGGATGAGTACATGCAAGTATGCCGAGATTATTCTCTGTCTCCAACACAAAAGCTTCACTACATGCACAATCTCCTATCCGGGGATGCGAAGAGGTTCTACCTGGATCGAGTAGATGGCTATGCAACCTCATACCAACAAGCCATAGATCTGGTTGAGAATGAATACAATTCCCCTGTTAGACAGGCAAGGGTGAAAAACTACCTCAACACTTTGCGGATCTCTACGTTCGTTTCAGATGGGCCAGATGAGTCTGCGGCACTATCCAAAATCTATAAGGTGATCACGAAGTTGTCTCGTCAAGGACCTGCTTCCCATCGCGGTGATGCACATAAAGTAGAATTCCTTCCGAACGCAGTCGTTGGATCTGGGTGGTCCCATGAGCCGCTGAGCAGGGTGGCAACGCACGGTCTCTCTTTCCAACAGCTCTACGGCGAACTGGAGGCTGCTCTCCAACTCCAGAAGGAAGCAAAGCAAGCCATGTTGAGAGATGCCGCAACAAAGACCAAAGACCTTGGCTACGACGATGAGGTCCCAGGGATACTCTTCGCAGGTCAGACCCGGTATGCCAAACACCCATCTCGTAATCGCTTCTTCAGAAGTTCAAGGGGTTTCAGCACTCCGTCATCTAGACCGAGAACCAGTTTCGATCCACTTAGCATTCAAGGGTGTTTCAACTGTGAAGACAAAACACATACCATTCGAGACTGCCCGCGGCCGATAAACGCAGCTAAAGCCGCTGCTAACAAACTGGACTACTTTCGAAAAAGGAAACAGACTGGAGAACGTTCTGTACACCTCGTTCTTGCTCAATTATGTCAGCAACTCGACCAAGGATCTGCTTCCGGCGCCCGAGAAGAGGTCGAGGAGAAAGACATCCCAGAGAAGCAGACTGATCGTGAGATCTTTGAATGCATCTTGGAGGAGTCTAGCCAGTACGACGTTGACTGCACTTCCCCACGCCCTCTACATTCAAACGAGACTTTATCTCAGGAAGAAGATTCCCTCCATCCATACTTCTCGCAGCAAGATAGAGAAGACTACGTATTCGTCGTGTACGAAGGGGATAACGCCTCAATATTCAAGTCTGACCATGTGTTCGGTACCGACAAGGACGTTCCCTTCCTAGGCGCATGTATCGATACGGGAGCACAAAAGTCTGTCATCGGAAAACAACAAGGCCTGGCGTACTTCAGGCTTATCGGGGAGGAGTTCAGGCCGCGCAAGCACGGGCATGACCTTAAGTTCAAGTTTGGAAACCGCCGCCACATCGGACTTGGTCGTATTGAGATAAGGATTCCCATCAATGGAACGCACTTATATGCCCGAACATCGAAGCGGTTGATGTAGACGTCCCGCTACTCCTCGGCCTAGACTTTCTCGACGAGTACAAGATGATCGTTGATGCGGCAAATGATTTACTCGAATCGAAGATCCGCGCTTGGTCATTCCCTTTAACGCGGAAACTGGGACATCTATATCTTGAATGGGACTACGGAATATTCTACACATCAGAGGAAATGTTGAAGCTGCACAAACACTTCTTTCATCCAGATTCAGGACGTCTCTACGCAATGCTAAAGCGGGCCGACAATGCGAGTACAACTCCATCTGATCTTAAAGAACTGGAGAGGGTCGCATCGGAGTGTGACGTTTGCCAGAGAAACGTGGCCGCTCCGAGCAGATTCAGAACCGCTCTTCCGTCCGATGATGTCGTGTTAAATAGGTGCGTTTGTATGGACATTATGTTCCTCGAGGGGAAGGCAGTGTTGCATATGGTGGACAAGGACACTAAGTTCAGTGCAGCTGCTTTCCTCCCGAAACAGACTGTCGACGAGTTGTGGAGCACATACTTGTCGCACTGGATCCTTCCCTACATCGGTCACGCGCTTGAGATACACGCAGATCAAGGCCCCCAGTTCCGCTCTCGCAGGTTCGCGTCCTACACGAGCATGGAGGGAGTTCAGCTTCGCTTATCGGGTGTCGAAAGCCACAACAGCCTAGGCGTCGGAGAGAGGTATCACCACTACCTGCGTCGTATTTTTCGCAAGATACGCGATGAGTTTCCTGATATACCAATGAAAGACGCATTAAGACTAGCTACAAAAGCCATGAATGATACTGCAGGACCAAAGGGTTTGGTACCAAGCCTTCTGGTGTTTGGAGTTATGCCAAGAATCCTTCTTCCAGGATCTGTCCAGCTACCTGGCCAAGTCCAGCGCATGAATGCCATGCAGGCAGCACGAAAGGATATGTCTAAAGAGGTTGCCCGTAGCCGGCTTAGCACAGCGTTGAGATCAAATGTTCCGGCTGCCACCAACCGCGATGTCAGCATAGGCTCTGAAGTGCTTGTCTTTAAAGAACCTCTCGTGAACAAATGGGTTGGACCATTTCATGTGCTCGACGTGAGAGACAAGTCAGTGTTCATCAATTCCCAAGGACGTACAACACAAATGTCTATCGACAAAGTGAGGCCGTACTTGCGTCCAATGCATAACGAAAAGCCAAGCACTACGGAACCCAGTGAGTACAATCCGAGCAATAATACCACAAGCAAGGGTCTGTCGCCAGCAGAGGCATCAAATGCATGGCTAGAGTCCCTTCGCGATCCGTTACAGGATCTATTCTCATCACCGGCTGAGGACAACGCAATATCTCCTGACGAATTTTATATGGAGTTCGCCACATTCCTAACGGAGGTTATTGAATCATCCGATCCTCGATCTAAGAACGCTGCCTTCTTGTCAGCCATGAAGAAGGAAGTGAGAGGCTTAGAAGATCGCGGTGTTTGGGTTAGGATGTCAAAGAAGGACGTTCCGGAGAATGCAAATGTGCTAGGCGGTCGCTTCGTCCTCACATTGAAGAACGCTGGCTCTGAACGTGAGACCCCGAAAGCGCGCTTCGTTGCTCAAGGTTTCTCAGATAGGGAAAAGGACTACATAATCCACAATGTTACCTCACTAAGACAAAGCTCGGTTCGAATGATTGCATCCTTTTCTGCGTCGAAAAGGTTTCGAATCTTCAGCCACGACGTCACCCAAGCATATACACAAATTGATGAATGTCTTTTGCGTGAGCTCTACCTTCAGCCGAAACCAGCAGATGCTCCCTTGTTCTCTCTTAATGCGCGCCAAGTGTTGAAGTTGATCAAGCCGATATACGGGACCACTGATGCCGGTGATTACTGAAATGTGACGGTGGACAAGCATGCCAAGAGCGATCTAGGCATGGAACCGCTCACAGGTGACTCGTCTTTGTATCTTAAGATTGATGCAGATGAAGAAGATGCTTCTGGACTAATGGGAATGCCAGTAGACGATGGACTACTGTGTGGTAACGACGCTTTCCAGCGCCTCACCGAAGCTACACTGCATAAATTTGACTCGAGGCCAAGACAGTGGGATAAGGTCGAATTTTATGGCATGCAAATCGAATCTACGCCTGGTAGTAGTGTTCGAATCCATCAACCCGACCACATCCAGAGGATTGAGATGTTACCTGAAGATGCAACGTTCGAGCACTTTCGTAGCGCTCGTGCGGCATTAGCCTGGATCACCCACACGAGGCCAGACATCGCCTGCTACGTAAATAAAGCAGCACAAGTCACAGAGAAAGCCTTCGAAAGCAGGCATATCGAGGCATTCAATCGATGCATCAAGTACCTAAAAAGAGAGCCTTTACAATTGAGTTTCGATCCGCTAAATATCGAAACATTGCAGATTCGTGTCTATGCGGACGCCGCCTTTGGTACCAATTTGGATTGCACCTCACAACTTGGGTACGTAATTATGCTATTCGATGCGAACAACGCCGCTCATATTATCGACTTCTCCAGCAAAAAATCAAGAAGAGTTGTCAGATCGATAATGGGAGGAGAGATATTTGCCTTGGCAGATGGTTTCGATCGTGCGTTTATGTTAGGGCATGACCTGGAGCGTATGTACGACAGAAAGATCCCGCTGTACGTTTTAACCGACTCTAAACAAGTTTTCGACACCATTACAAAGGCATCCAAAACAACCGAACGAAGACTCCTCATCGATATTGCTGCTGCTCGTCAAGCCTACAATCGCCAGGAAATATCAAACATTGGTCTAGTTGCATCGGAAGACATGGTTGCAGATGGACTTACGAAGACGAATGCTGGGCATCATTGATTAAGGTTTTAAGATCCGGCCACAATGCACTCAAGGTGAAACAGTGGATTATTCGAAATTAAGCTATCACCATGCCTGTCCTATTGAGTCTGTTTCAGAAACTATCGAATGTCAAAAACGTGACGTCAAATTGGAGTATCTTGTTCCGCCTTTTAAGAAAGTGCCAGTGTGAAAACTGCAGAAGTTGATTGGCGCGTATTTTTCTCCACGCGCTATAAGGACAAGATACTCTAGTAATTTCCCTCTCTGTAGTGAGTATATAGGTTCCCCCGATGATTCCGAGTAACGGGCGTCGGGGGATGGTAGAGGGAAGACACACACCGTACGTATCGAGTCGTTCACCGACTCTCGTACAGTAAAGAACTGCCGGTCGTCGGCAGTTTTCCCTCGAATTTCTCCATTTTAGTGGCAAATTCCACACTGCCGACTGCTTTCTTGAAAATGGCTTCCACACCTCAATGCCACGTGCGCCGTTCTCCGCGCCTCCTGCGCATCTCTCTGACTCCCACCATTCGGAAGACGGGGGCCACCAACGCAAAGTCTCTCACTATTGCTTCCTCGTCTGCAGCGGGCGTTTCTGACCAAATATTATCCCCCCTCCATACGGTATGTACGACTGAATTCTTTGTCGTTAAAAATCCTGTTGGCTTAGACAAAGGTCCATCTCCGTCGGACATCTAAGGGCTTTGTGAATTTTCGGGGTCGAGGATAGTTTGAAATAGCTTGGTGCAATGAAAGGAGGGAGAATAGAGCTGCGGTTGCGGTTAGTGCGGTCGTAGCAGTGATGATTCTATTGCCGTGCATTGCGTAGGAGTGATTAGATTGAGAAGAAAGGAGGGGAGGCGAACGGCGCTACTGGGCAGTGGTTGTAGATCGGTTTTTTGACCAAACAGCGCCGGCGATAGATACGCTATCCCGCGGAGTAGTAAGGTGAGAAGTAGGGGGTGAGATCAATTATTTATCCCGGTGATCTGGGATCACCCGCAATGGCCACGTTCTGGGTCGGAAGCTAGCGACGCTGCAGCGTCTCTCGTCCATGTCGGCGCGTCCCTGGGGCGAAGTTGTTTGACGCTGCAGCATGTCACGTCCCTGTCGATGCGTCCTCGGAGCGAATTTGTAGAACCCACAGTGTCCTCCCCGTTGTGTTCTGGAAATTTATGGCGCTGTATGCCTCTGTAAGTCAGCACCGTCGCTCTGGGACACCTGTCCACTACTAACGTAAGGGAAAGGACACCTGTCCACTACTGACGTAAGGGAAAGGCGTGTACTTACATTAAAAAATTAATAAATGACCGGCAAACTCGGGCAAGCAAAGCAAACCCGGGCAAGTTAAGACACACCCTAAGGATTGCTCGGTCGGGCATGTATGGACGTGAATGAACCCAGTGTCGCTCCGGATTGGTTCATTGAATGTTTTTTAATACATCTGATACTTCATATGGACGCACATGGACGAAAATAATTAACGTCACAATTACAGAGTAAGCTTTGGCAAAGCAATAGAGAAGAAACCTATTGGCTATCACCAACAGACCTTTATCCATTTCTGATCCATTTGTGATCCATTCGAATTCAAAAGATTTTGAAAAAAGACGGTAGATTTGCCAAACCTCTTAGCAAAAGAGCTCCCTGCAGTAATCGGCGAAGCCCTTCCAAGCTCTCCGCGTTCTGTGCCCCAGCTTGCACCGATTCCGTGCAGCAACCTGTCTTCAGCCCACCCATCAATAAGGTTTTTATCTTTTCCTCCCTTTATCACGACAACGACCATGGAAGCAGGTTCCGAATCTCCGACACTCCGAAGAAGTCCACGATTTCAGCGTATCGGGCAGCCCCTGCCTGCCACAAAAACACCAAGTGCAGACAGTATTACTCGCGAAAATTCCCCCGACCGACGTCGCACTCTCCAGTTCACCAATATAGAGCACGTCATCGTTCCAAACTGTGCTGACGTGAGGCCTGCCTTCATCACGCCAACAAGCACAAGGTGCCGTTTGACTGCTGCGCCGGATTCTCAATTGCGACGTGTTAGTGATATGGATACGCAACCTCCTGATTCTCAAGCGCGACGTTTTAGTGATATGAATACGCAACCTCCAGATTCTCAGGCACGGCGTTTTAGTGATATGGATACCCAGAAAGGGCACCCGTCTCTGAAGGATTGGCACAACGTCAAGCAACATCAGACCCATCATCATCTAGAGATAAACATCGGTCAACGGAGGAGGGCGCAATTGTCATGGATGATGGTAACATAGAACTTCGAAACCCACAAGTGCGAATATCTACAGCTAACGATATGTGTCGAATGTTCGCTTTCCTGTCACATCTCCCAGTCAAGAGGCTTCGAGTGATTTTAAAGAGCTGGGATTGGCGTCAAAGCGGCAAAAAGGAATGTTTGGTAGCAAAATCTGTATTACATTTGCAGCTCTCTCTTTTGTCTGTAAGAGCTTGGCTGAAACTCTGTCGGGTCACGAAGAAACACGAAGATATGAATCATGGTTGCGCATCAGGCTGATGAAGGACGAAAACTATCCACTGTCGATTGACACGATGCCAAGTGAAGATGAACTCGTGAGGATGCTCTCAGCCATAGAAGCGAATGAGTACAGAAGAAAAAAGTTTTCTATCGAACAAGCACTGTCACAAGTTGATAGAGTACAGGATGAACCCCTTCGAGACTCCACAGCCAACCAACCTCAAAATGCGTTTGGTCAGGCTAACTCGAACGATCGCCCAAATACAGAGAGCACCACTTTCGAAATCAATGAGTTCGCAAGGCTCTTGATCACGATTCGCAATGATTAAGACGCGAGGAGCGCGATTATTGCCATGGGGCAGGAGCTTTCTAGGGCTCAATTGGGTGCAGGTGTGACAAGATCCGATTTTTGGACAATCGTGGAAAGTAGGTTTAAGGATCCAAGACAAAGGCGTTTTCTCAACTTGACTGCAGCCCTTGATGGTGTAGATTCTTCTTTGCCGCCATTGGCTCCTCGAACAGCAACATTTTTGAAGGACAAGTTTAACGATGCAAAAGCTGGATTTACACAGTACGTGATGCGGTGGTCGGCTTCAGGGCAGAATGATCCCGATAGGTTTCGCCATTTCCTCCCTTCGACGTCAAGCGGTGATCTAAGCGCACTCGGCAAGCGTTGATGGTCATGTTTGTGTGCAGGCGTAAGGGAACTCCTTTTGAAGAAGATGATTTCTCCAACGTTTGCTTTAAACTGATTCCGGGGGGCGCGGGACGGGATGAAGGATCAAGGGTTGGTACTATTGTAGGGGAAGGTGGGTTGACATGACAAACACGAAGGAAAAGGTCACATCCAGATGAAGGAGTCAAGGACATTGCTTCTTCCCTTTCAAAAATAGCTTCTTGCTACGAGGGGCGGAGGAAAAAAAGTGACACTAATGATTCTGAGAAGCAGTTGAAAGACTACTCCTGTAGGCTGAAGAAGATCAAGATTTTACAGGACGTAGTGAAAAGGATATCCGCACATCCTGACTACACGCCTCTCTGTCACGATTCGGACGGCGCTTTAGTACTTCTGGCGCTGAGGAAACTGCAAAAAGATGTCAGCAAGGATCTTCTTTGTGACTCTGAAGAGAAGGGGGGATGTGATGCCAAGTTTCGGGTTGAGAGGGTCTTACTCCTTGCCTGAAGTATTATCATGCGAAGAAGACGGACATCTTCACAGTCACCATCCTCAGATGCACGCCCGTCTCACAGCTGGCCAGTCGCACCTCGTCATCATGGCTCGCCCTGCTTTCACCCAGTCACTCCCCTCCGCCACGCCCCGCCCTCCATCGCCGCCAACTTCGTCTCCGCACTTCAACCCACGCCCCGCCATGGCCTCGGCGCCCCACAATCGGCCCGAACCGCCCAGCCCGGCACGCCCCGCCGACGACATCGCTCTTTCAATGCCCGGACTGCGGGACGGTCCACGCCACCCTCCCGTTCGTGTGCCCCACTTGTAAATACGCGCCTGCGCGGCTAGATCCATCTGACGCTCATGGCGTCCTCGGCGCCCTTGCTGCTGCGGAACTTACTGACGCAGCCGCTGAAGCAGTCGCTGTTTCAGCTGCAACTTGTCTCGGCCGAGTACGAGCACGGCTGGCGTCACTTTCGCACGGAATTTCTACCGACAAACCTCCCCGAAGCTGCTGCACCGACGGTGCGGGACAGTGTAGCCGAATTGAGGGGCACCAATACACAGTTCGAGGACGATGCACTCACAAAAAGACCAGGTTCAGCAGACGACGGCGTTCTTGAATCAATGGCACGAAGATGCACCCCGTCACCTGCGGGCTCACGTTTGCGAGCAAGGAGATGTCGACGGAGTGGCGGAAATCAGAGACAGCGGAACACTGCCCGAAGATTGAGGATTGACAAACGAACGAAGCGCCGGAGAGGTCGACGGTGAATCTGAACTGTGCATCGCTGAGAAACCCGAGCACGCAAATTTAACAGCCCTCCCGCACCCCTTGCCTCCTCTCCCGCTGTCCCCGCGCTCCCTTTTCCCCCCCCACCCGCCCTTTCCCTTTAAGTGGGTTCGCGGCCCACAGTAGCTCAAGTCCCTGACAGGGGGGGGGGCAAAAGGAAAAGGCCCCCCCGGGGACGGATGGTGGTAAAGTCTTGTACAGGCAGCTGCTCGGCGAGTTCGC